CTATCACCGATTGGGAGTTGTGGGGGTGGAGTGTCCGATGGTACAAAATACCCAGGCAGGTGCTTAGTTTTGGTGGGGCTGATGGTAAGTCCCCACCTCTTAGTGGCAAGCTCCAGGTTCAGCAGCAGCGCCTCCAATTCCTTCTATGAGTGAGCAGCAATTACCAGATCATCGGCACACATAACACGATGGAGCAATAGGGAGCCATCCCTTGACCGCACTCGGGCATCGATCAGCCTCCCATTGTATCTGTACCAGATGGAAATTCCTCCGGTACAGCTATTGAAGGCTTCACGTACGACGTGGTCGAAATAGATGTTAAATAATGTGGGAGCCAGAGGACATCCCTGTCGCACCCCAAGGTGTACAGGGAATGTCTCCGACTCCCGCACACGTGGTTTTACCCGGGTCCGCTCGCCATCATGAAGGTCCTTAATGATCGTGAGCAGCGGGTCAGGGACTCCGAAAGCACGAAGAACCGACACACACACACGTACAGACACACACACACGTACAGACACACACACACGTACAGACACACACGGACAGACACACACACGTACAGACACACACACACGTACAGACACACACGTACATACACACACGTACAGACACACACGTACAGACACACACACGTACAGACACACACACACGTACACACACACACGTACATACACACACACGTACAGACACACACACATACAGACACACACACGCACAGACACACACGCACGTACAGACACACACACGTACAGACACACACACGCACAGACACACACACACGTACAGACACACACACGTACAGACACACACACGTACAGACACACACACGTACAGACACACACATACGTACAGACACACACACACGTACAGACACACACACGTACAGGCACACACACGTACAGTCACACACACGTACAGACACACACGTACAGGCACACACACGTACAGACACACACACACGTACAGACACACACACGTACAGACACACACACACACACGTACAGACACGTACAGACACACACACGTACAGACACACACGTGCAGACACACACACATACAGACACACACACGTACAGACACACACACGTACATACACACATACAGACACACACACGTACAGACACACACACGGACACACACACACGTACAGATACACACACGGACAGACACATGCGAACAGACACACACGTACAGACACACACACACACGTACAGACACACTCCCACGTACACACGTACACACACACACTTACAGACACACATACACGTACACACACACGTACAGACACACACACGTACAGGCACACACACACGTACAGACACACACACACACGTACAGACACACACGTACAGACACACACGTACAGGCACACACACGTACAGACACACACACACGTACAGACACACACACGTACAGACACACACGTACAGACACACACGTACAGACACACACGTACAGACACACACACGTACAGACACACACACACGTACACACACACACACACGTACATACACACACACACACGTACAGACACGTACAGACACACACACACGTACAGACACACACACACGTACAGACACACGTACAGACACACACACGTACAGACACACACACTCGCCCGGTACACACTTTGCATTATGCTCACGTGCCGAGCACAGAGCGCTGTGCTTGGCTATTTATAGCATCGGGCATACGTGCGTGTGTGTGTGCGTGTACGTGTGTGTGTGTGCGTGTGTGTGTGTGCGTGTGTGTGCGTGTGTGTGTGTGTACGTGTGTGTGTGTGCGTGTGTGTGTGTACGTGTGTGTGTGTACGTGTGTGTGTGTGTGCGTGTGTGTGTGTGTACGTGTGTGTGTGTGTGTACGTGTGTGTGTGTACGTGTGTGTGTGTGTACGTGTGTGTGTGCGTGTGTGCGTACGTGTGTGTGCGTGTGTGTGTGCGTGCGTGTGCATGCGTGCGTGTGTGTGCGTGCGTGTGTGTGCGTGCGTGTGTGTGTGTGCGTACGTGTGTGTGTGCGTACATGTGTGTGCGTGCGTGTGTGCGTGCGTGTGTGTGCGTGCGTGCGTGTGCGTGCGTGCGTGTGCGTGCGTGCGTACATGTGTGTGCGTGCGTGTGTGTGCGTACGTGTGTGTGTGTGCGTACATGTGTGTGCGTGCGTGTGCGTACGTGTGTGTGCGTGTGTGTGTGTGCGTGTGTGTGCGTGTGTGTGTGTGCGTGTGTGTGCGTGCGTGTGTGTACGTACGTGTGTGTGCGTACGTATGTGTGCGTGTGTGTGTGTGCGTACATGTGTGTGCGTGCGTGTGTGTGCGTACGTGTGTGTGCGTACGTGTGTGTGCGTGTGTGTGTGCGTGTGTGTGTGCGTACATGTGTGTGCGTGCGTGTGCGTGCGTGTGTGTGCGTACGTGTGTGTGCGTACGTGTGTGTGCGTGCGTGTGTGCGTACGTATGTGCGTACGTGTGTGCGTACGTTCGTGTGTGTGCGTGTTTGTGCGTGCGTGTGTGTATGTGCGTACGTGTGTGTGTGCGTGTGTGTACGTGTGTGCGTACGTGTGTGTACGTTCTTGTGTGTACGTGTGTGTGTATGTGTACGTGTGTGTGTACGTCTGTGTACGTTCATTTGTGTACGTGTGTATTCGTTCGTGTGTGTAAGTATGTGTATGTGCGTGTGTGTATGTGCGTGTGTGTACGTGCGTGTGTGTAGGTATACGTGTGTGTACGTTCGTGTACGATAGTGTGTGTACGTGTGTGCGTGTGGATACGTGCATGTGTGTACGTGTGTATGTGTACGAATATCCGCACCGGTCCTGGGCCTCCCCTAGGTCGACTCTGCCTCAAATGAGTACTTAGTGCGGTGTGTATAAAACATCGCCACTGGGGAGACAAAGGCGGCCGGGCGAGGTGGGGCTGGCCACCCACCCCCTCGTGTTGCTACTCACTAACAGCACTTGCCCCAGCAGTCTGTTGGGGTTATCCGGGGGATCTTTATCTCTGTACTTTTGTGTGTATATTAATCTAAACATTCGTGTGTGTGTGTGTGGTTTATGCTCTGTGTGTAGCAGCACTTGCTCCTACAGTCTGCTGAGGCTACCCGGGGGATCTTTGTCTCTGTACCTTTGTGTATCAATATACGTACACGTGTGTGTGTGTGTGGTTCATGCTGTATGTGCGTGCGCGTGTGTATACGTCTCTTTGTGTGTGTGTGGTGATGTTATTACTATTAATACTAACGCTGATGGTGGTGGTGATAACGATGCCATTGCCAATCTTGAACGTATTTTTTTGGTGACGATGGTGAGAATTCGATGACCCGATTAATAGTTGTGTTTGATGAAGGTGATGATGATGATGATGTTGGTGGTGGTGATGATGATAATGCTGATCCTTAACTGATAATGTTGGTGATGATGATAATGCTGATCCTTAACTGATGATGATGTTGGTGATGATGATAATTCTAATCCTCAGCTGATGATATTGGTGATGATGCTCAATTGATGATGATGATGATGCAGGCAATGGGTATCTAGTGTGTCTGATGATGATGATGTTGCAGACTATGATGGAGATGATGATGATGTTGCAGACAATGGGTATCCGGTGTATTTGATGATGATGATGTTGGAGATGATGATGTTGACGTTGCAGACATGATAATAATGATGGAAATGATGATGATGGAGATGATGGTAGAGATGATGATGATGATGGAGATAGATGATGTTCGAGATGACGACTACGATATTGACGTTGCAGACATAATGATGGAGATGATGATGTTGCAGACATGATGATGGAGATGATGATGCTGTTGATGTTGGAGACATGATGTTGATGATGATGGAAATGATGGTGGAGATGATGATGATGATATTGACCCTGCAGACATAATGATGGAGATGATGATGACGGAGATGATGATGACAGAGATGATGACGATCATGTTGACGATGACGTTGCAGACATGATGATGGAGATGATGGTGGAGATGATGGTGGAGATGATGATATTGACATTACAGACATGATGATGGAGATGATGATGTTGCAGACATGATGATGAATCTGATGATGACGCTATTGATGTTGGAGACACGATTTTGATGATGATGGAGATGATGGTGATGATGATATTGACGTTGCAGACATGATAATGGATCTGATGATGTTGCAGACATAATGATGGAGATGATGAGGATGATGTTGATGTTGGAGACATGATGTTGATGGAGATGATGGTGGAGATGATGATGATATTGACCTTGCAGACATGATGATGTTGATGATGATGATGACGGAGATGATGACGACAGAGATGATGATGACGACGACGATCACGTTGACGATGACGTTGCAGACATGATGATGGAGATGATGATGTTGATGTTGATGATGATGGAGATGACGACAGAGATGATGACGACGACGATGACGTTGCAGGCAATGGGCAGGAAGCTTCGGATGCTGGGCGGGAGATGATGGAGATGTTGATGATGTTGATGATGGACGACAGAGATGATGATAATGACAGAGATGATGACGACAGAGATGATGATGACGACAGAGATGATGACGACAGAGATGATGATGACGACAGAGATGACGACGATGATGACGTCGACGATGACGTTGCAGGCAATGGGCAGCAAGCGGCGGCTGCTGGGCGGGAAATGATGGAGATGATGATGTTGATGATGCTGATGACGACAGAGATGATGACGACAGAGATGACGACAGAGATGATGATGACGACGATGACGTTGCAGGCAATGGGCAGCAAGCTTCGGATGCTGGGCGGGAGATGATGGAGATATTGATGATGATGACGACAGAGATGCTGACGACAGACATGACGACAGAGATGCTGATGACGTCGACGATGACGTTGCAGGCAATGGGCAGCAAGCTTCGGATGCTGGGCGGGAGATGATGGAGATATTGATGATGATGACGACAGAGATGATGACGACAGACATGACGACAGAGATGCTGATGACGTCGACGATGACGTTGCAGGCAATGGGCAGCAAGCGGCGGCTGCTGGGCGGGCTGCTGTCGTGCCGCTGCCTGCGGGCGCAGCACGAGGAGGGTGGGGGGCGGCTTCGGTGCTCGACTTCTCGCACTGCAGCCTCGACGCGGTGCCACGCGACGTCTTCTCGTGCGAGCGCAGCCTCCTGGAGCTCTACCTGGACGCCAACCAGATCGAGGAGCTGCCCCGGGTCGGTGGCTCGCCCGCTCGCACGCAAGCTCACCCACACGCTCGTTGACTTCGCTCGCTCGCTCTCACGCACCTCGCCCGCACGCTCACCCGCACGCTCGCTCGTTGACTTCGCTCGCTCGCTCGCTCGTGCGCCCGTTCGTTTTTTGCACTCATTGGCACGCTCGCTCGCTTGCTCGTCCGCTCGCCCCCCCTCGCTCACTCATTTGCCCGCTCGCTCATTTCTTCACTCATTGGCACGCTCGCTCGCTTGCTCGCCCACCCGCTCGATCGCTCGCTCGCTCACCGGCTCGCCCGCCCGCCCGCTCGCTCGCCCATTTGCCCGCTCGCTCATTTTCTTCACTCATTGGCACGCTCGCTCGCTCGCTCGCTCGCTTGCTCGCCCGCCCACTCGCTCGCTCACCGGCTCGCCCCCCCCGCTCACTCCCTCATTTGCTCGGTCGCTCATTTTCTTCACTCATTTGCCCGCTCGCTCATTTACAACACTTCAAGGCCGAAATTATAATAGATATTGGGACACACACATCCCCCCCCTTCCCCCAATTTTCAAATATGCTCAAAATGTCCCTCCAATATATTGCTAATAAATAGATTTAAAAAAAAATGCTATGCTGTGTAAATAAAAACAACAATTTGCTAAACCTTGGCCACAATATCTGGACTTGTCTTCATATAAAGCAATGCATAGGTTTCTGTTGATATGATTGCGGTCATGGTTGTACTTTATCAATCCCTAATCTCAAACATTACATACAATGAAGCAAGAAATGGTAAAAAAAAAAGTAAAAGCAGAGCATTGTAATACGAAACACTATTAGACATTATTGTTAAAAATAAATGAAAAGTCCATCCCATGTGTTGGTGAATTTTTTAATATTTTAGGCAGGAAATTAGTTTTAAAATTTAGATTTTTTCTGGGGGGACGGGGACCCCAGAGCCACTGAAAGATCTGGTCCCCCCCAATGTTGACTCAATGGCTACGGCCTCGCTTCACTCGCTCGTTCGACCTCTCACTCGCTCGCTCGTCCTCTCACTCGCTCGCTCGATCGCCCACTCGCTCATTTTTTCCGCTCACTCGCTCATTCCCTGACTCGCACACTCGCACGCTCACTCAGAGAGTGGACGACTCGGAGAGAGAGAGAGTGAACGACTCAGAGAGAGGGAGTGGATGACTCGAAGAGATAGTGGACGACTCAGAGATAGAGTGGACAACTTAGAGAGAGAGAGAGGATGACTCAGAGAGAGAGAGTGGACGACTCAGAGAGAGAGAGGACGACTCAGAGAGAGAGAGAGGACGACTCAGAGAGAGAGAGAGAGAGTGGACGACTCAGAGAGAGAGAGTGGATGACTCAGAGAGAGTGGACGACTCAGAGAGAGAGAGGACGACTCAGAGAGAGAGAGAGTGGACGACTCAGAGAGAGAGAGGGCGACTCAGGGAGAGGGAGTGGATGACTCGAAGAGATAGTGGACGACTCAGAGATAGAGTGGACGACTCGAAGAGAGAGTGGACGACTCAGAGATAGAGTGGACGACTTAGAGAGGAGAGAGAGAAGAGGATGACTCAGAGAGAGAGTGGATGCCTCAGAGAGAGTGGACGACTCAGCGAGAGAGAGTGGACGACTCAGAGAGAGAGAGTGGACGACTCAGAGAGAGAGAATGGACGACTCAGAGAGAGAGAGTGGATGGCTTGTAGTGACGCGCGCCGCATGTCTGTACGTCTGTCTGTACGTCTGTCTGTCTGTCTGTACGTCTGTCTGTAAGTCTGTCTGTACGCTTGTCTGTACGTCTGTCTGTACGTCTGTCTGTACGTCTGTCTGTCTGTCTGTACGTCCTGTCTGTACGTCTGTCTGTACGTCTGTCTGTACGCTTGTCTGTACGTCTGTCTGTACGTTTGTCTGTACGTCTGTCTGTACGTCTGTACGTCTGTCTGTACGTCTGTCTGTACGGCGTCGTCTGTCTGTACGTCTGTACGTCTGTCTGTACATCTGTCTGTACGTCTGTCTGTACGTCTGTCTGTACATCTGTCTGTACGTCTGTCTGTACGTCTGTACGTCTGTCTGTACGTCTGTCTGTACGTCTGTCTGTACGTCTGTCCTGTACGTCTGTACGTCTGTCTGTACGTCTGTACGTCTGTCTGTACGTTTGTCTGTACGTCTGTCTGTACATCTGTACGTCTGTCTGTACATCTGTCTGTACGTCTGTACGTCTTGTCTCTACGTCTGTCTGTCCTGTCTGCTGCTGCTGCTGGTGCCGCTACTTCCCACAGCAAACTGTTCAGCTGCCAGGCCCTGCGCAAGCTGAGCGTGCCGGACAACGACCTCTCGTCCCTCCCGCCTGCCATCGCCGGACTCAGCAACCTGCGGGAGTTGGACATCAGCAAGAACGGTGGGGCAACGTGGGTGGGGCATTGTGGGTGGGGCATCGTGGGTGTGGTATAGTGGGTGGGGCAACGTGGGTGGGGCATTGTGGGTGGGGTGTTGTAGGTGGGGCATAGTGGGTGGGGCATCGTGGGTGGGGCATAGTGGGCGGGGTATCGTGGGCGGGCATTGTGGGTGGGGTATTGTGGGTGGGGCATTGTGGGTGGGGCATTGTGGGGGGGGGCATTGTGGGGGGGCATTGTGGGTGGGGCATTGTGGGTGGGGTATTGTGGGTGCGGCGTTGCGACGGGCCAGGTGCCCGCTCGCCTTGTGCCTCACAGGGCGAGCTGCCACTGGGGGTGCCCTAGGCGAGCCCACAAATTGAAACTATAAACTATTTGACTATCTTCTATTTTACACGCTTTTATTTAACTCACTCTGTCTGTTGTATCCTCAACTCTGTCTGTTGTCGTAGTCCTCAAATCTTGTAACTCGATTTTAAGCTACTTTCCAATGTCGTATCTACTGCAAACTTGGTATACGAACGTCATACTGATGACAATGCTATATTCCATCATAAAATTTAAAAAAATCTATATTTTTAAGCACTATTTTTAGAAATTATGTTTCGGCTCGGGTCTAAATTGTCCACGCTCAACTCACGTTGGCTGAAAATCACCACGGCACCTTACGCTGTGGCAAGCTTCGGGGCCACTTTCTGGAGTCGTGGAGTTCTGCCATTACTAGTGCGGTACATTTCATTAAAGCGTGTTTTTAAAAAAGTTTGATTAATATTAATTATTTTTTACCAGGTAAGGCCCCACTGAGCTTATGGAGCATTTTTTCCAGAGAAGCGAACCGCCCATCACTTGATGATGGCTCGCTACGAAGTGGCTTGTCGTCATCAAGTGAATATTTATAGCAGTGGCCGCATATCTTCTTGGTTCTTTCGGTAAAGTCACGTAGAAGGGAAGTAATAAAATAATAAAAATAAAACAGAATACAATAATTCTCACGACGTTTCGGCCACAACGCAAGCAGCCGTCCTCAGGTGAAGACCAGGTCTGTCGGGAAGACAGCGTCTGGTCTTCACCTGAGGACGGCTGCTTGCGTTGTGGCCGAAACGTCGTGAGAATTATTGTATTATGTTTTATTTTTATTATTTTATTACTTCCCTTCTACGTGACTTTACCGAAAGAACCAAGAAGATGAATCCCTGCCGTCACAAAAGCTTTAAATCGAAAAGTAGCCACATACTCTGAGCGCGCGATTCTAAATGTGGAGGCGAAAAACCGGAGGATTGGGAGAAAAATCCACGCGACCACGGGGAGAGAGAGAGACACCGCAAACTCCAAATATACAGCAGCAGGCATCGTCAGAGTCTGAATCGAATCCGCTGACTTCCTGTATACCGGGCGAGGTAGCTAACATCTCACAGGGTCTGGGATCGAACCCACGACCTTCTGCGTACCAGGCGAGGTAGTTAACATCTCGTAGGGTCTGGGATCTACGATTTCCTGTATACCAGGTGAGGTAGCTAACATCTCACAGGATCTGGGATCGAACTCACGACCTCCTGCGTACCAGGCGAGGTAGTTAACATCTCGTAGGGTCTGGGATCGAACCCACGACCTCCTGGGTACCAGGCGAGGTAGTTAACATCTCATCAGGGTCTGGAATCTACGATCTCCTGTGTACCAGGCGAGGTAGTTAACATCTCAAAGGGTCTGGGATCGAATCTACGATCTCCTGTACACCAGGCGAGGTAGTTAACATCTCACAGGGTCTGAGATCGAACCCACGACCTCCTGTGTACCAGGCGAGGTAGTTAACATCTCACAGGGTCTGGGATCGAACCCACGACCTCCTGCGTACCAGGCGGGGTAGTTAACATCTCACAGGGTCTGGGATCGAATCCACGACCTCCTGCGTACCAGGCGAGGTAGTTAACATCTCGTAGGGTCTGGGATCGAACCCACGCCCTCCTGCGTACCAGGCGAGGTAGTTAACATATCGTAGGGTCTGCGATCGAATCTACGATCTCCTGTATACCAGGCGAGGTAGTTAACATATCACAGGGTCTGGGATCGAACCCACGACCTCCTGCGTCCCAGGCAAGGTAGTTAACATCTCGTAGGGTCTGGGATCGAACCCACGACCTCCTGTGTACCTGGCGAGGTAGTTAACATCTCACAGGGTCTGGGATCGAACCCACGACCTCCTGCATACCAGGGGAGGTAGTTAACATCTCGTAGGGTCTGAGATCGAACCCACGACCTCCTGTATACCAGGCGAGGTAGTTAACATCTCACAGGGTCTGGGATCGAACCCACGCCCTCCTGCGTACCAGGCGAGGTAGTTAACATCTCGTAGGGTCTGGGATCGAACCCACGAACGCCTGTGTACCAGCCGAGGTAGTTAACATCTCATCAGGTTCTGGGATCGAATCTACGACCTCCTGTACACCAGGCGAGGTGGTTAACATCTCACAGGGTCTGGGATCGAACCCACGACCTCCTGTGTACCAGGCGAAGTAGTTTACATCTCGTAGGGTCTGAGATCGAACCCACGACCTCCTGCACACCAGGCGAGGTGGTTAACATCTCGTAGGGTCTGAGATCGAACCCACGACCTCCTGTGTACCTGGCGAGGTAGTTAACATCTCATCAGGGTCTGGGATCTACGATTTCCTGTATACCAGGTGAGGTAGCTAACATCTCATCAGGGTCTGGGATTGAATCTACGACCTCCTGTACACCAGGCGAGGTTGTTAACATCTAATCAGGGTTTGGGATCGAATCTACGACCTCCTGTGTACCAGGCGAGGTAGTTAACATCTCACAGGGTCTGGGATCGAACCCACGACCTCCTGCACACCAGGCGAGGTAGTTAACATCTCGTAGGGTCTGAGATCGAACCCACGACCTCCTGCACACCAGGCGAGGTAGTTAACATCTCATCAAGGTCTGGGATCGAACCCACTACCTCCTGCGTACCAGGCGAGGTAGTTAACATCTCACAGGGTCTGGGATCGAATCCACGACCTCCTGCGTACCAGGCGAGGTTGTTAACATCTCGTAGGGTCTGGAATCGAACCCACGACCTCCTGCGTACCAGGCGAGGTAGTTAACATCTCGTAGGGTCTGGGATCGAATCCACGACCTCCTGCGTACCAGGCGAGGTAGTTAACATCTCATCAGGGTCTGGGATCGAACCCACGACCTCCTGTGTACCAGGCGAGGTAGCTAACATCTCACAGGGTCTGGGATCGAACCCACGACCTCCTGTGTACCAGGCGAGGTAGTTAACATCTCACAGGGTCTGGGATCGAACCCACGACCTCCTGTGTACCAGGCGAGGTAGTTAACATCTCGTAGGGTCTGGGATCGAACCCACGACCTCCTGCGTACCAGGCGAGGCAGTTAACATCTCATCAGGGTCTGGGATCGAATCTACGATCTCCTGCGTACCAGGCGAGGTAGTTAACATCTCACAGGGTCTGGGATCGAACCCACGCCCTCCTGTACACCAGGCGAGGTAGTTAACATCTCACAGGGTCTGGGATCGAACCCACGACCTTCTGTACACCAGGCGAGGTAGTTAACATCTCACAGGGTCTGGGATCGAACCCACGACCTCCTGCGTACCAGCCAAGGTAGTTTACATCTCGTAGGGTCTGGGATCGAACCCACGACCTCCTGTGTACCAGGCGAGGTAGTTAACATCTCGTAGGGTCTGGGATCGAACCCACGACCTCCTGTGTACCAGGCGAGGTAGTTAACATCTCGCCACCGTGGCGACCCAACCACTGTGCATAGTAACAACTGCAGCCCCCCGACTGGCAGACTGATGCCCGCTCGTTAGCAAGGTGCCGGGTCGCCACGCAGAGACAGCTGCCGATGGGGGCGCCCTTCGAATGTTTGCGATGAGATGTGGCGTAAGGTGTTCTGTTCGCTACCAGCACTTGCCCCAGCAGCCTGCTGCGGCTATAATCGGGGCGGGGATCTTTGTCTTTGCGCACCCAGGCATTCAAGAATTCCCGGAGAACATCCGCTGTTGCAAGTGCCTGTCTGTGTTAGAAGCGAGCGTGAACCCCATTAGCAAGTGAGTTCACACACACACGCACGCACACATGCGCACGCACACACACACGCACTCACACACACACGCATTCACACTAGCACACGCACACTAGCACACGCACACACGCATGCATGCACTAACACACGCGCACACACATGCACTGGCACACACGCACGCTCACACGCACACACGCATGACTTCGAACACGCTCACGTGCATGCACTCGCACACACGCACTTGCACACACGCGTACACGCGCACACGTACACACACGCACAAACACACACTACCACACGCACACACACACACGCACACACGCGCATGCACTAGCACACGCACTCACGCACTAGCACATGCGCGCACACACGTGCACTCGAATACACGCATGCACTCACACACACGCACATGCTCGCACACACACGTGTACTCACATACGCACGCAGTCGCACACACGCGCATCCACGCACTCTCACACACGTGCACGCGCACACGCGCACACATACACCCTGGTTAGCGCTACGCCGCACTAAGAACCCGGCCACCCGAGTTCGATTCCCGCTCACGGCCAACACCAGTCACGATTATTTTAACTGGTCCTGGTGCCTCCCCTAGGTCGACTCAGCTTCAAATGGGTACTTGGTGCGGTGTAGTAAACATCGCCACTGGGGGAGACAAAGGCGGTCGAGCGGGCGTGGTGCTATGCATAATGTCTGTTAATTGCCATACAAACAACGCAACCGGCAATGGATACCCATAGTCATTGCTATGCATTCGTTAATCTCCCCACCGCCACTTCGCACAGGAAGTGCTCACAAGTGACGTCAACACATCTACCCCTCTATCTAAGGAAGGAATCGGGAGGATTTCTCCACTAATCTGGCTGTCGCCTGATGAAGCCGGTTGCCAATTGCCGGCGAAAACGTCGTGCTCAGATTGTAAATGTTGCGGCTTCGCTCTCCAACACACAATCTCGATTTAAAGCTTTCGTGACTGCAGGGATTCATCTTCTTGGTTCTTTCGGTAAAGTCACGTAGAAGGGAAGTAATTAAATAATAAAAATATAACATAATAATATAATATAATAATATAATAAATAAAACATAATAAAATAATAATATAATACAATGTTTATTATGTTTTCTTTTATTATTTTATTACTTCCCTTCTACGTGACTTTACAGAAAGAACCAAGAAGAACACACGGTCTGTGTGCCGCTGTGCTCGTCACGAATTGACCACGTCCTGTTCACGTGACAAACCCATTGCTGATTGGCTGCGTCGGGTGGCGGCGGGTTTAACGGCACAATTATATGATCACGTGATCTAAACCCCCCCCCAAAACAACCTGTATTATGGATGATGTTGGCCGTGAGAGTCCTGCTACGTGGTAAGCAGTGGCGGCTCCTGCAAAATCTCTCAGGGGGGGCAAATGTCTGGATGATTGATAAGGATAAGGTCCACCCATGCAATGGATAAAATGACAGCTTAAGCATGTAAAGGCAACTTCACTTCTTTAATATTGATGAAAAATAAAGTGACTCTTACAATACATCTTGTTTGTTTCTATACTCACTATTAATACAATCCACTCAAGTTTATTTTATTAAAGATTCCACTAGGTGGCCACAATTATATTGTTGGATGAAACGTGCTTACGTATGATGACGTAAGCACGTATGATGACGTAAGCACGTTAGGGCGAGCCCTCCCGGAAGCCATAGAGAATGCATTGCAACGCCCGCCGTTCGAAAAAAAACATCTTTGAATGTAAGTCTATGGGGCAAATCGGAGCGATTCTCAGCCGGAGTGAAATCGCCCAAAAAGAGGCGGTACTCCACAGAACGTAGCATGACGCTGATTGGACTATATCCAGAGGCACAGTGACGGCTAGCGTGACTCTGTGGTTGAATGACATTGGTGGTGCGTCGCCCAATCGCCCTAATGAAGAAACCGCCCCTGCTGGTAAGTGTTACGGAGGACCTCTGTCTCTGTGTGCAGGTTGCCAGAAGGGTTCACTCAGCTCCTAAACCTGACCCAGCTCTATCTGAATGATGCCTTCCTCGAAGCGCTGCCCGGCAACTTTGGCAGGTAAACACGCACACGCACGCACACACGCGCGCGCACGCACACACACGCACACACGCGCACGCACGCACACACGCGCGCGCACGCACACGCACAAAGATAAAGACCCCCCGTATAGCCTGAACAGACTGTAGGGGCAAGTGCTGTTAGCGAGCACCTATGAAGGCCGGAACGGTACACGAGGGGGTGGGTGGCCAGCACCACGCACATGCACACACACACACACGCACATGCACACACGCGCACACACACACACGCACACACGCACACGCGCACACACACACGCACTGCACACGCACACACACGCACACACACACACACATAACAAAGATAAAGATCCCCCCATCCCCGTGTAGCCTACGCAGACTGTCGGGGCAAGTGCTGTTAGCGAGCATCGAGCAACCTATGAAGGCCGGCACTGTGGCACACGGGGGGGGGGGGGGGTGGCCAGCACCACGCCTGACCGCCTTTGTCTCCCTCAGTGGCGATGTTTACTAAATGCCAGCTACTCATTTGAGGCCCAGTCGACGTAGGTGAGGCCCAGATCCGGGTCGGACAATAGTCACCGGTGTTGGCCGTGAGCGGGAATCGAACTCGGGTTACCGATCACACTTAAACAGAAATACAAAGGTCTCCCGTACAGCCTTAACAGGCTGCTGGGGCAAGTGCTGTTCGCGAGTGGCACCTATGAAGGCCTGCACGGCAGATGGGGGAGTGGGTGGCTAGTAACCGCCTTTGTCTCCCCGGTGGCGATGTTTGCTACACCACCGCACCAGGTACGCATTTGAGGCCGAGTCGACCTAGGGTGAGGACCAGATCCCTGTGAAACAATCGTCACCGGTGTTGGCCGTGAGCGGGAATCGAACTCGGCACGCACGCCAGCGATCACCATTTCCCGATATAGACCGTGCAACCGAGAGCCGCGTTGTTCTTTCCCAGAATAAACCGTGGTCTTGACGAGACGTGATGGGGAGAGCGGAGGGTGAGAGAGAGAGTGAGCGAGAGAGTGAGCGAGAGAGTGAGCGAGAGAGTGAGCGAAAGAGTGAGCGAGAGAGTGAGCGAGAGAGTGAGCGAGAGAGTGAGCGAGAGAATGAGCGAAAGAGTGACCGAGAGAGTGAGCGAAAGAGTGAGCGAGAGAGTGAGCGAGAGAGTGAGCGAGAGAGTGAGCGAAAGAGTGAGCGAGAGAGTGAGCGAGAGAGTGAGCGAGAGAGTGAGCGAGTGAGTGAGCGAGCGAGAGAGTGAGCGAGAAGTGAGCGAGAGAGTGAGCGAGAGAGTGAGCGAAAGAGTGAGCAAGAGAGTGAGCGAGCGAGAGAGCGAGCGAGTGAGCGAGCGAGAGAGCGAGCGAGAGAGCGAGCGAGAAGTGAGCGAGAGAGTGAGCGAGAGAGCGAGCGAGCGAGAGAGCGAGCGAGAGAGTGACCGAGAGAGTGAGCGAGAGGTGGGAAGTTACATAAAGCAAAGTTATAAAAAAAAATTACGAAATGATGAACGAAGCAAAGTGCCGACTACACCGAGCATCTTCTTGTTTCCACTGATCGTAAAAAGAGAGAGAGAGAGAGATGTAGCCAGAGAGAGAGAGAGAGCAGGAGTGGTGGGTGGTTGGAGAGTGGGGGAGAGAGAGAGTCTAAGCATACAGAGAGACATTGAGACGTGAGATAGAAGAGAGAGAGACAGGAGGAGAGATCGTGTAATTGTTCAGACAGACTTTTGACTTCCAAACAACTTTTATTGCCGCCAGCAGCAAAAGCACTGGAGGCGATTTCGATACGAAACACAAAAAGTCACCAGCAACACAAATGAAAATAAACGCTACAAATCCACGCGCTGTCATGGCGCTAAAAGCCCCGCGCACAACACGAAAGAAAAGTCACGTGGTGGTGGTTGTGGTGGTGGTTGTAGTGATGGTGGTAGTGGTTGTGGTGGTGGTTGTAGTGGTGGTGGTGGTTGTGGTGGTTGTGGTGGTGGTGGTGGTGATGATTGTGGTGGTGGTGGTTGTGGTGGTGGCTGTGGTCATCGCGCACGCCACGGTGACGAGTGAGCGCTTCAGAAGGTGAACACCACGAGGTGCCGTCCACGCTGGTACAGAGAGGGGCTTGTCCGGCTCCCCAGCGTTCAAAGAAGACGCGAGATTCTTCTCGCGTGTAAACTACACGCACATTGCTTGCCACAAGTGAACCCACAATGCATTGGTGATCTCGTCGAGGAGCACGAAAACGTCATCACGCCAACTCCGATTATGCTCGCAGCAACAGCAGCGGTTTTTGGCTAAGCCATCGAACAAATACGGGGGTCGCCGCATTATCGCGCGGCACGTTCGGATGCGCTTCTGCGGCCGTCTGGAACGCTCTTCCTTCCGACGTTAGGAAGCCACCGGAGCTACGCAACTTTAAAATCACCATCCAGATTTGAACCTTTTGATTTTTTAATCCTGACCAATCGTCTTTGAGGCCTCCCTGCACCAATCAGAGGGCTTGGTTGAAACTTACAAAACTAACAAAACTTACGAAACTAACGAAACTAAAAAAAACTAGTGAAGCTGACGAAACGAACGACGCTAACAAAACTAGCGAAACTAAAAAACTTACAAAACTGACGAAACTGACGAAAATAACGAAACTTATAAAACGAATGAAACGAATGAAACTAACACAATTAACGAAATTAACGCAACTAACGATACTCGCACTACTAACGCATCTAACGAAACTCACGAAACTACCGAAAGTAACGCAACTAACGTAACTAATGAAACTAATGAAACTAACGCTACTAACACACCTAACGAAACTCACGAACTACCGAAAGTAACACAATTAACGCAACTAACGAAACTCATGAAACTAACAAAAAAACTAACAACACTTGCGAAACTCACGAAACAAACGAATCTAATAAAAATAACAAAACCTACAACGCGAATGAACTAACGAAACTAACAAAATGAACTAAACAAAACTAGGGTGGAGCGGCAGTGCAGCGGCTAGCGCTACGCTGCGCTACGAACCCGGCGACCCGAGTTCCATTCCCGCTCACGGCCACCAACGCCACCGGTGACGATTATCTGAACCGGTCCTGCGCCTCCCCTAGGTCGATTCGGCCTCAAATGAGTACCTGGTGCGGTGTGTAGTAAACATCGCCACTGGGGAGACAAAGGTGGTCACAGCCGTGGTGCTGGCCACCCACCCCCTCTTGTGTCGTGCCGTCCTTCATAGGTACTACTCGCTGACAGCACTTGCCCCACAAGTCTGTTCAGGCTATACGGGGGATCTTTACTGGTGTACGTGTGTGTGTTTACTGGTGTACGTGTGTGTGTTTACTGGTGTACGTGTGTGTGTGTACATTTACTGGTGTATGTATCTGTGTGTGTGTTCACTGGTGTACGTGCGTGTGTGTTTACTGGTGTACGTGTGTGTGTGTACATTTACTGGTGTATGTATCTGTGTGTGTGTTCACTGGTGTACGTGCGTGTGTGTTTACTGGTGTACGTGTGTGTGTGTACATTTACTGGTGTATGTATTTGTGTGTGTGTTCACTGGTGTACGTGCGTGTGTGTTTACTGGTGTACGTGTGTGTGTGTACATTTACTGGTGTATGTATTTGTGTGTGTGTTCACTGGTGCACGTGCGTGTGTGTTTACTGGTGTACGTGTGTGTGTGTATATTTACTGGTGTATGTATCTTGTGGTGTGTTCACTGGTGTACGTGCGTGTGTGTTTACTGGTGTACGTGTGTGTGTGTACATTTACTGGTGTATGTATCTGTGTGTGTGTTTACTTGTGTATGTGCGTGTTTATTTACCGGTGTACGTACGTGTGTGTGTGTGTGTGTTTTTACCGGTGTATGTATCTGTGTGTGTGCAGGCTGGCCAAATTACAGATCTTGGAGCTAAGGGAAAATCACCTTAAGACGCTACCCAAGTAAGACACGCCGTCACGCTGACACACAGACAGACATACACACGCCTTCACTACATAGACACGCACACACACATGCACAGACAAACTAAGGAACACACAAACAAGACAAAGATGCCCCTGACAGCCTTTGGGGATTCCTGGGGCAAGTGCTTGTGTGGCGATGTTTTGCACACCTCAACGAAAAACTCATTTAAGGCTGAGTCGACCTAGGCGAGGCCCGGGAACGGTTCAGATAACCGTCACCGGTGGTGTTGGTATAGCCGCGAGCGGGAATCGAACTCGGGTCGCCGGGTTCGTAGCGCTGCGCTCACCGCTGCGCCACCGCTCAGAGAGATTCTCATCCAGATTTGAAGCTTTCGTGACTGCAAGGATTCATACTCTTAGCTCTTTCGGTAAAGTCACGTAGGTAAAACAAAATGAAATTAAAATTAATAAAATAAAATAATAAAATCACGACGTTTCGGAGGCAACACAAGCTTCCGTCATCAGGTGGGACCGTCACAGCTGAATTTGCTGCATCAAGTGAGGCAGGGATTCAAGAGCAAGAGACTAGGCTCTAAGGAAAGCTGTCTCGGGTGTGGACCAATCAACTTCAAGGACAGTGCATACATTATCAGAGTTATGTTCTTTGTTTGTATTATGACTGCAGGTATTGCGGTCTATGCAAACATGACTTCTTGTAAAAAGGTGTCAGTTTTGTTGCCAGATAGAAGGGTAAAAAACCAATTATCATATTTTTTTACTGGCAAATGAGGTTCCAATGGTGTAAATGCTTACCCCGAGCTCTCATACTCTGATGATGCATTGTCTTTGAGTTGTGCGCCTTTTGGCGTCATCTGGTCCAACACCATGTGAGACTAGGCTCTAAGGAAAGCTGTCTCGGGTGTGGAACAATCAACTTCAAGGACAGTGCACATACATTATCAGAGTTGTGTCTTTGGTTTGCATTATGACTGCAGGTATTGCGGTCAATGCAAACATGACTCCTTGTAAAAAGGTGTCAGTTTTGTTGCCAGATAGAAGGGTAAAAAAACAATTATCATGGTACTTAAGAGCTTGCATCTTTAATCCCTCCCTCACTTGATGCAGCAAATCTGGCTGTGACGGTCCCACCTGATGACGGAGACTTTGTGTTGCCTCCGAAACGTCGTGATTTAATTTTTTTATTTTTATTAATTTTAATTTCATTTTTTACCTACATGGTGACTCTACCGAAAGAACTAAGCGTAAGCTTCTCATCCAGCAGTGGAGTGACAAAGGGGCTCCGTTGTGCGTGCCGCGCGGTGTCCGCGCGCGTGATCGTGGTGCACGGTTGGCGGGTAGGATGGCAGTCGGAGTTTAAACTAGCACGTGTGTGCGTGTTTACTACACACTCACTACTACACACTACTACACGTGTCTCTCTGTGTGTCTCTCCGTGTGTCTCTCTGTGTCTCCGTATCTCCCAACTCCCCCGTGTCTCTCTGCGTGAGTCCATGTCTCTATGTGTCTCCGTATCGTTTCGTCTCCCAAATCCCCCGTGTCTCCACGTGTCTCTCCACGCGTCTCTCCGCGTGTCTCTCCGCGTGTGTCCGTGTCTCTCTGTATCTCCGTATCTCCCAACTCCCTCGTGTCTCTCTGCGTGAGTCCATGTCTCTATGTGTCTCCGTATCGTTTCGTCTCCCAAATCTCCCGTGTCTCCACGTGTCCCCTCCGCGTGTCTCTCCCGTGTGAGTCCGTGTCTCTCTGTGTCTCCCTATTGTCCCGTCTCCAAACTCCTCCGTGTCTCCGCGTGTCTCTCCGCGTGTCTCTCCGCGTGAGTCCGTGTCTCTCTGTGTCTCCGTATCGTTTCGTCTCCCGACTCCCACGTGTCTCCGCGTGTCTTTCCGCGCGTCTCTCCGCGTGTCTCTCCGCGTGTCTCTCCCGCGTGTCCTCTCCGCGTGTCTCTCAGCGTGTCTCTTCGTGTGTCTCTCCGCGTGTCTCTCCGCGTGAGTCCGTGTCTCTCTGTCTCCCTATTGTCCCGTCTCCCGACTCCCCCGTGTCTCCGCGCGTCTCTCTGTGTGTTTCTCCGTGTCTTTCTGTGTCTCCGTATCGTTTCGTCTCCCAACTCCCCCGTCTCTCCGCGTGTCTCTCCGCGTGTCTCTCTGTGTGAGTCCGTGTCTCTCTGTGTCCTTATTGTCCCATCTCCCGACTCCCCCGTGTCTCCGCGTGTCTCTCCGCGTGTCTCTCTGTGTGAGTCCGTGTCTCTCTGTGTCTCTGTATCGTTTCGTCTCCCAACTCCCCTGTGTCTCCACGTGTCTCTCCGCGTGTCTCTCCGCGTGTCTCTCCGCGTGTCTCTCCGCGTGTCTCTCTGTGTCTGCAGGTCGATG